GCATACACCCAGCAGCGCTGCTGATGCCTGAACGGTATGTGGAATGAAGTGGGCGGGCATCGGGAGGCCACTATGGCACGGGGCAAGCACTATGGGCAGTCTATCTGAAGTGTACCTGGCGTATAAGACGACCCCCCACTTGGAGGCATATTTTTCAGGGCCAAAAAATCGTCTTATACGCCGGCAAATACGGTAACCATTTTGGAAAATATTTTGATAATAAAATTAAATGCATGTACACACTGCGATTCATCAGTTTCATTCATATGAATATAACCTAGAGAAATTCTTGCCAATAGTATCAGGATGCCTCTATAAGAACATTTATAGGAAAGAAATGGAAATATTCCAAATGTCCACTAAGAGAATAAATAGTTATTTTGCGTGATATAACACAGAATAACAAATGAATGAACTACAGTAAGATTTAATAACAAAGACTATTTTAAGAAACAAATGTGTAATAAAAACAAGTCACCTAGAATATATACAGTATAACATAGCTTATGAGCTTCAAGAACTAGCAAAACTAAACAAGTATGCTGTTTAGAGAGATATATTTGGTAAAATGGTGTTTTGTTTTAATTGGGAAGTAATAAACCCAAAATTCAACACAGTGCTTATCTAAGGCAGAGAAAATACAGGAAGGTTTGGCGAGTAATAAAACCAGGTACTAACAGTTCATAGGTGTTCATTCTTGTATTATAAAACAAGTGATACAAATGTTATATACATTCAGGGGTGGGCAAAAGTAGGATTATGGTTGTATGTGGAACACAGAGTTTATTTTGTGTTATTATTATTGTATTATCTGTATTATAACTGTAAACCTACTTTTGCCCAACCCTGTATATTCCTTTGTATAAATATAACATAAAATAAAACAAATAAATGAATTTAAAAAGGTGAAAGTTCTGTATCTGACAAGACCTGACTAGGTTGTCTTGAACCTATATCCCCACTGGAACAAATAAAAAGAATGGACAAAATATTTTTAAAAATCAGTTTGAAGGCAACAGACACCAAAGCAATGAGATTTGGCAGGGCAAACTTTCTAAAGCAGTGATTCTCAACCTGTGGGTCACAACCTCTTTGGCGGTCGAACGACCCTTTCACAGGGGTCGCCTAAGACCATCCTGCATATCAGATATTTACATTACGATTCATAACAGTAGCAACATTACAGTTATGGAGTAGCAATGCAAATTTTTTAAAATATATTTTATTGATTTTTTACAGGGAGGAAGGGAGAAGGATAGAGAGCTGGAAACATCGATGAGAGAGAAACATCGATCAGCTGCCTCCTGCACACCCCCCACTGGGGATGTGCCCACAACCAAGGCACATGCCCTTGACCGGAATCGAACCTGGGACCCTTCAGTCCGCAGGCCAATGCCGCATCTACTGAGCCAAACTGGTTAGATCGCATTGAAAATAATTTTATGGTTGTGTCACAACATGAGGAACTGTATTTAAAGGGCCAGAAGGTTGAGAACCACTGTGAGATGAGAAATAAAGAGATTTGAGTTTGGTGCTCTGATGTTTTTTCTTATACACGTGATAGCTTATACCCATGATAGCTGACTTTGAAGATTAAAGGCTGAGAGGTTGATAAATATTTTCATCACTGCTACTGAGCTGAAAGAAAAAAGAATTATAACTATGAGCCTAATAAAGAGTAGAGCCCTTGTTAAACACCCTAAATTTTAAAGTGGATGATGTTTGCAGAGTTTGCCTTCTGGATCCTGTTGTCAGAGGGTTTGATTTCTGTTTCCTAGACTGCCTTTAGAATTAACACACATGAGCTGGGAGTATAAATGGGATCTGCAGGCTTCCAACGTTGGGTTCAGCGTTTCTGTCACCTTAACTCAATTTCCTGGCTGCCACTCTAAATTCACATCTTTCATTAGCTGCAGTTTATCATTTCAAGATTATTCTGTGATTGTGCTGGCGGGAGGAAAAGACCCTCCTTATTTGGCAGGTGTTTCTTTTCTGTGCTTGTAGGGAGACAAACCTTCTAGCTGTTAATTTTTTACTGTATATTTTGTTTTGTTTTTTCCAAAAATTTTCTATAATTTGGTCTCCTTTGGGGCCTCTTTTGTTTTTTTTGCTCTTTGTAACTGTGTGTGTGTGTGTGTGTGTGTGTGGCCATTTTGGTGGGACTTAGCTATGAAAATACTAATGCTTTTTTTTTTTTTTACCTTCAACTGCAAACCTTTTCAATTTTTCCCCTGCTCAAGGTTCTTTGTGTATGCCTTTCCCCTTATTTAAGAATTACACTTAGCCCTGACCGATTTGGCTCAGTGGATAGAGCATCGGCCTGCAGATTCTAAGAATTATACTTTATGGTTTCGTTGATTTTATCCTAGACCTTGCCAAGCTGCCTTAAATAATTGAATCAGTCTCAAAACGGGTTTTTATAGGAGTGTATGTAGGATGTTAAAGTCAGTCCACCTCCACGCAGAGAGACCCAACTGATGAGGATGTATAAGTGCTGAATGTGGATGCTAGTGAGTTATGCCTTTCAGCCTTTTTGAGTAATAGGGTTAGAAAGATGTGTTTTTTTTTCTGTTACATATAATAACTGTCACTCCAGAAGATACAGATTTCATTCATTCACTATATATTAAACATGGGAATTCATGTTCACATTGTAAAGTCCTTAATTTTTGTTTAGCTTCCAGGAAAAAAGACAACTAAGCTTTGGGTTCCAGATGAAGAAGTTTCTCCTGAAACAATGGTCAAAGTGAGTAATATATATATAGATTTCTTTATTTAAATATATTTAATATATTTTTAATATAGGTGTTAAAATTTCTATTCCTGTTATTAAGATGGCTATTAAAATCATTTGAGTTTTTATATTTATAGTATGACATTAACCCATGTACTGTGAGAGTATAAGGCAATGATGAGAAACCTAAGGCCTTGAGGGCAGCTGCATGTAATCTAATTTGAGAAGAAAAAAAAAGAGTTTGTGAACTACCTCCATGTTGCTGCTTCTTAGATATTAACCATTAAATGGCAAAAGACAATGCTAGTTTTCTTATGTACATCTGCTGTTCAGTAAAAATGGTTATTTGGATTTGAAGACTGTTTATCTTTCCCAAAGGACTTGATAAAACTTTTTATTTTGATTTTTTTGTAGACCTCACCTCAATGCGCTGCCCAAGATGTGAAGGCCATGAACAAATACAATAAATATTGTTGTTTCTCTAGTTGTAATTTCTTATAAATCTTTTCAGAAGGGGGGTTTATGTTTCATATTATGAACTACTTTATCACATTATTCCAGCTTCGGATTCTGATAGAGACCTTTAGAGCATCCCTTCCTTTATCATTGAATGATGCTTGATTCTTTCAAATTCCAGTATAAATCTGTTTTCTTAGCATTGGTTTCAAGCAGCAGTTTTGTACGGTTGAGCAGCACTGACTGGAAGGCTGGCCACCTGCACTTAAGTTCATAATTACCAAATGGAACAGGAAAGGCATTTTAAGGGGAACTGGAACATGCCACTGCAGAAGACAAGACCCACTCAGTCCCTGTGACTTAGAGCTGTAAAAAGCTAAGATAATGTGTGAAGAAAAGAAGTAATATGCATCCCTTCAAAAAGGGTTGTTGCAAATAACTTAGGTACTTCGTAATTATAAAAACAGTACAAATGTGAGGTGGTATCATCTCTTAGACTCAAAAGATTGAATATAATTTATAGTTTGGAACTTAACTTTTTTGCCTAGCATAGTTAGTATGATTTTACTGAGGGTCATAAAGTGTAGAGGGTATGTTGAGGAAAATGAAAATCACACACACACACACACACACAAAGTCTTTTGTTAAATCATTCATTTGTCAGTTACCTAGGAGGTGAGGCATGTTTAATTTTAAACATTCAGAGTTATCTTCATAGACATAGAAAAGAATAATTCCTTTTTCTTTTCCTTTTTTCCCCCTTAAAAGGCATCGATTAAAAACATATTTTTTACATTAAGTTTGATACAGAATTTCTTTAAAATGTAGCAATGTTTTACTTGTGAATTTGTCTTTTAAATAGATACAGGCGATTAAAATGATGGTTCGATGGCTACTTGGAATGAAGAATAATCACAGTAAATCAGGAACTTCTACTTTAAGATTGCTAACAACAATATTGCATAGTGATGGAGACTTGACAGAACAGGGGAAAATTAGGTATAATTACTATTTTAAATTATTTGGATTGCATAGTATTTCAACATCTATAATCATTGCTTGGTTCAGTTTCTTTTAAAAAGTAATTATTGCTTTGTATGTATGCCTATATTTTTATTGTAATATGCTTTTGTACAGTAGTTATTTGTGCAAGGTACCACTATATACACTAATTATTTTAAAACATCTTCATATATTCATAGCTATATTCAAAGTTTTGAAAGGCTACTTATAAGATGTTAGTGTACCAATAAGTACCTGATATTTTATGTTCTTCTTAATTAATGTCTAAAGGGAAAAAAGCAGACTGGGTAGAAGACAGTTTATTGAATCAATTCCAGAAGTATAAGTATGTACAAATTTTAAAAAAATACTTGATGTAAATTATTTAAAACACATACTTTTTTGTTTTGTTTTGCTTAAAAGATATAGAATAGTGACTGGAAACAGACTCTTGATCCTAGATTCAAACTCTGGCACCATCACTTACTATTAAAGGGATCTCTTACCAAGTTACTTGAACCTCTCTGTACCTCAATTTCCTCATAGAGAATAATTATACATACCCTGTCTCACCTAGCTATTATGATGATTAAATAAGTTAACATATTTAAGGTGTTTAAAACACTGCCCAGCACATAGTACATATTTAGAAGAACTAGTGATGGTAGTGGTTATTATGACAAGGTTAGCTAAAATTGAGAAATTTGTCTTCTGTGTTATTTATTGACTTGTTTTGGTAATAAACGTAAGAGAATAGTTTTTCTCCTCTTAATATATCTAGTGTAAAGACTTTAATGATGAAGTATATAAAGGTGACTGCCAGCTGCTTTCTCCCTTTCTATCTTCATTTCTTGTGTTTTTGCTCATACAGTACTTTCTGCATAGACAGTTAAAAGGAGCACATTTTTATCAAACAAACCAAGTAAAAATAAAACTTGGTCAAGCATTCCACATCTACAACTAATTTATGTACATTTTTCAGTCTAATTAGTTGTCTTTACCTCTCTACTCTTAAATTCATACTAGAGGCCCGGTGCATGAATTCGTGCATGAGTGGGTTCCCTTAGCCTGACCTGTGGGATCGGGCCAAAACCATCTCTCTGACATCCCCCGAGGGGTCCCAGATTGCGAGAGGGCACAGGCCAGGCTGAGGGACCCCACCAGTGCATGATCAGGGCCGGGAGGAACACAGGAGGTTGGCCAGCTGGGGAGGGGCCACGAGAGGGATCCAGGGCATGTCTGGCCTGTCTCTCTCAGTCCCAATGGGTCGAACATCAGCAGCAAGCTATCCTACCAGTCGGAGCATCTGCCCCCTGGTGGTCAGTGCACATCATAGCAACTGGTCAACCAGTCAACTGTCTGCCCCTTGGTGGTCAGTGCATGTTATAGTGAGTGGTTGAGTGGCCTTATCATTAGCATAGTACGCTTTGATTGGTTGAACAGCCAACTGGTTGACTGGACACTTAGCATATTAGGCTTTTATTATATAGGATTTGGGAGATGAATGGATAAATTTGAATATAGCTGAATCTTAGAAGATATTGAAGAATTCTTCATTGTTTTGGATGACATCATGGTTTTGCAGGTATGTAGAACAATGTCAGTATTTTAGGAGGTGTATGTAAAGTAGTTAGGAGGAAAGTATCATATAGAATATGTGTAGATATTCTATACATTTGTAGATAAAGCAGGTATGACCATATATTAACAGTTATTGAATTTGCGGTACACGAGAAGTGATTATATTATTCTTTCAACCTTTTACTTTGTTCAATTAATACTTTGTAAGCAGCTACTACATGCCAATACTCTGTTTGCAGTGGTAAATAAGAAAGTAGACACTGAGCACTGATCGTTGCCGGCGGAAAGCAGGTATCTGGGTTTGTTTAGCTTCTATAATTGAAACTCTGCTGCCATCACTGGCGCTCTAAGCTCTGAGGCCCTGGTTGGCTGACAGCAGGTCTCTGGGGTTTGTTTAGCTTCTATAATTGCAACATTGTTGCTTCCGGAACTCAGAGCTGGGCTGCGGCAGGCGGGGAACCTTGGCTTCCTCCATCACTGGAGCAAGCAAGCCTCGTGCTCACTTTAGCTGCGTGGTTGCCGGCTGCCATCTTGGTTGGCAGTTAATTTGCATGTTCTGCTGATTAGCCAATGGGAAGCGTCGCGGAGGTATGGTTAATTACCCTTTTTGTCTAGTATTAGATAGGATATTCCAGTGTTCAGGATTTACATAATAATTGGAGAAGAATGTTTTTCTCTAGTATTAATACATTTTTATCTCTTAAATTTATTAATTACATTATTAATGTGCATATTTAGATCTTTCACCTGTTATTTTTCATTGTATTCCTTAACGAAATTAAATGTGTACTTGAATTATGCAAATGTACGTGACTTACGTTGGTTGTGCATTTTTAAAGAAGGCTTTAGAAAGAAATCTGGTCTTCAAAATATTAGTTGTGAAGTATCTATACTAATAAAAGGGTAATATATTTATCAGGGTGGACGTCTTCCGGATGACCATCTGCATGTCCTTCTGGACAAAGCCACAGCGGCTGCCTGAGGCTCAGGCAAGCTGCAGATGGCGGCTGCCGCTACCCAGGGCCAGGCTGTGGGTCAGGCAAGCCGCAGATGGCGGCCACGAGGGCCGACCCACGCGACTGCAAGGCCTGAGGTTCAGGCAGCCGTGGTGACAGCAGCAGCAGGGTGATGGGGACGGCGCCTTTCCCTGATGGGCCAGGTTGCCTCCGGCAAAGGGAGACCAGACTGTGGCTTAGGCTGGGGGCCGAGGCAGAGGCGGTTAGTGGCAATCAGTCCAGCAGGGGTGCAGGGTAGGGGCAATTAGACCGGCAGGCAGACAGAGGCAGTTAGGGGCGATCAGGCAGCCGAGCGGTTAGAAACCAGCAGTCCCAGATTGCAAGAGGGATGTCTGGGACATCCCCCGAGTGGTCCCAGATTGGAGAGTGTGCAGGCCAAGCTGAGGGACTCCCCCCGCCCCATGCACAAATTTCATGCACCAGGCCTCTAGTTTATTTATAGTTGTTTATTTCTTTTTACAAACTCAAATAAGAAAGACTTTCCTTTAGCAGTGGCTAAGGGATTTACCTTAAAACAGCTCTTAAAATATTTCTATAGCTTAGTGATTCTCAACCTTCTGGCCCTTTAAAAATCAGTTCCTCATGTTGTGACCCAACCATAAAATTATTTTTGTTGCTACTTCGTAACTGTAATGTTGCTACTGTTATGAATCATAATGTAAATATCTTATATGCAGGATGGTCTTAGGCGACCCCTGTGAAAGGGTCATTCAACCGCCAAAGGGGTTGCGACCCACAGTTTGAGAACCGCTGCTGTAGATGAACTGAAAGGCATCCCTGGGTCATGTAACCTCAAAACTTTTTTTTAGAACTTCCTTTTTTAAAAAGTAATCATTTATTTTTTAATTCCAGTTGTTATACAATATTATATTAGTTTCAGATCTACAACCCAGTGATTAGAGATTTATATTACTTACAAAGTTATATTGGCTGGGAGGACTGGCCACCAGGGAGGATCTGCTGTGTAGGGGCCAAGCTCACAGAACAGGACTTGCTTCAGCAGGGCTTTGATGCCTGCTGAGTCTACCCCTTGACTTTTTTCTGTTGTAGGTGGTTTGGGGGTGGGTGGTCTTTGGCATGGTCTAAAGCTATCCACTGGGTTTGTTGGCTCTGGGGTGTAAGCGAAGGTCATCTGCTGCCTGTGCCCTGCCCCAAACCATGAGCTACAAAGTGATATGCAGATGACTACTAATTGTGCTGGGCTTGGAGATGTCCAGGAGAGGCCACTGTGCAAACCAGGACCAGCTGCCAGTAGTGACAGGTCTCAGGCCACTTTGCAAGGGGCAGAGGGCATGCCAAGGCCAGCTGCTGTTTGTTTGAGAGATTTTAAGATTGCCGAAACCGGTTTGGCTCAGTGGATAGAGCATCGGCCTGCAGACTGTAAGGTCCCGGGTTCGATTCCGGTCAAGGGCATGTACCTGGGTTGCGGGCACATCCCCAGTAGGATATGTGCAGGAGGCAGCTGATCGATGTTTCTAACTCTCTATATCTCTCCCTTCCTCTCTGTAAAAACTCAATAAAATATATTTAAAAAAAAAAAGAAAGAAAAGAAAATCTGCAGCAGTAACCAAGACAGCCTGTTTGTATGGGAAAGCCGCTGAAAATGGCCTGGGTAGGCCCACAAGTTGGGTGAGGTAGGAACTCAGAATTATCAGGACTGGGAAACAGTGTTAGCCAGGTTGGGGGAGACTGAGATACAACCCTGCCTGTGGGCTCTTGTGGGAGGGCTCAGCAAAGGAACAAAGACCTCTGCCTGCATTTTGTCTGGGAGAATGCTATCCCTCTAGACCTCCCCCTTGTGCCAGACAATTCAGGTCCGTTCGGTTTGTTCCTGGCATTTTACCAGCTGCTGCCCCAGTGCTGGAGCTCAGAGCAAAGTGAGTCTGAGTAAGTATGTGCTCGAGCCTTTAAGAAGAAGGCGTGGGACTCTGGTAGCTCTCTCTCACTCAGCCATAATCCCTGCTGATTTTCACAACCAGATGTAATATGGGGACTTTTCACCCCCACCCGCCACCTCACCTCACACTGGAACCCTGAGCTGGGGAGCCTGGTATACAACTGGGACTTCAAAATAATTCCTCCCAATTTTCAACTGCCAAAGGTGGGTGTGGGACCAACTTGTTCTGCATTTTGGCCCCTCCTACCAGTCCCAATGTTGCTTCTTCTTTTATATCCTTAATTGTTGGATTTTTGTTCAGCTAGATTTCAGGTGGTTTTGAATAATGGTTGTTCTGTAGTTTAGCTATGATTTTGATGTGGTTGTGGGAGGAGGTGAGTACCTCATTTACCTACTGCATCTTGACCGGAAGCTTCAGAACCTTAATAATGTTGTCATGCATTCGGTCAGCATTTTTACAGAATCTTAGAAAAATAAAGGAAGGCTCTCAAACCAACTAGATCATTAGATCTTGGAAAACTAAGTTATAACTTTCCCTCCTTACATCAGTCCAAGATCCCTGTACTTCATCTAATACATCACTATATTACAAAGGGTTGTTTAGATGTATTTACTAGTCAAGAATTTACTATTTTTTGAGACGTGTCCCATTTAGCAGAAGTTTTCTTAATCTTAAAAGGAGCCTCTTGGTAATAATTGAAAAGTTGGATTCTAGCTGAAAATAGTAATGTTTTATTCATTACACCTGCTTTCATTCTACTTCTTTTATACTTAACACAGTAGTTTTAGTTGACTAAAAGCATGTTAGGACATCTTTATGCCTAATTTTTAGAAAAACACATATCTAAAAGTAATCCATAATGGAAGACTTAAACAACTAAACATATGAATAGATTTTTTTTTCCTAGGCTTGGCTATAAGCTGTTTTTGTAGGAGAGAATTAAATGACTTTAGCACACTTACGTTCAGGAGAAGAATTTTGTAGTATTAGACATCATATTCTGAAGTTAAATAAATACAGTATGGTTTTCAGTATCACTAAACTTTTCCTAACTTTTTTTTTTTTGCTAGAGGATTTTGTAAAATTAGCTAT